AGGGCTGTGTCTCCCCCTCAGACTGGGGCTCCCTGAGGGCAGGGCTGTGTCTCCCCTCAGACCAAGGCTCCCTGAGGGCAGGGCTGTGTCTCCCCTCAGACCGGGCTCCCTGAGGGCAGGGCTGTGTCTCCCCTCAGACCGGGCTCCTTGAGGGCAGGGCTGTGTCTCCCCTCAGACCGAGGCTCCCTGAGGCAGGACTGTGTCTCCCCTCAGACTAGGGCTCCCCGAGCTCAGAGCTTGTGTCTCTCCCCACCGAATAGAACAATGGCGGACGCCTGGCCCATCTTGGCTCTGACATCAGTCTGAGAGGTAGTAGCAGGGGAAGAGGCAGGAGGAAGGGAAGTGGGTTAAGATGGGTGCTTTTCAGTGCACCCGAGCTTCTGACTCAGGGCCAGAAGCAGACGTGCAGAGAGCTGGGCTGGCCCAGCATTTGCACTGCATGGTCCTGGCACCCAAAAGTCCACCTGTTTCCTCTGCACATGCAGAGACTGAGGCCCAGGGACGGAACGACACTGCCCACCGTGAGTGTGTACCCAAGCCGGGACTGGACCCACAGCCCAGGCCTCTTCCCACTACTCCAAGCTTTGCCAAAGAGGGGAGCCAGGGGCTGACAAGGGCTCTGCATGCCCTGGGCACCTGCTGTGTGCCGGACTCGGCTCGAAGCCCTTTATGCACGTTCCTGCATTCAGTTCTCAAATAACACTATCAGGCAGGCATCCTTAGGTGCCCCACCTTTTTTTAAAGCAGAAAAGAGGCACAGAGAGGTTGAGAAACTTGCCTCAGGTCACACAGCTAGGAGGAGGGAGAGCAGGATTAGAACCTAGGTGCTTTGGCTGAAAGCCCAGGGCCTTAGCTCCACTGTTAAAGTACCTGCTTACCATCCCCAGTTGGTAGAATGGATGCAGGAAACGAGGAGGCGGGGGAAGGGGTGCCCATTAGCAGCAGCCTATGCCCCAACCTGAGGGGTCTCCCACCCCACCTCTCTGGATCCTACAGTGGGGTCGGGCTTGTCTAGGAAGGTCTCCAGCAGGACCCATAGCTCTCCCCATGACTGGCTCCCAATCCCCGCCCAGCTGCGGCCTGATCTCACCTGATGTCATCCTCATTGGCAAAGATGATGACTGCCCTGGCGTTTGAGGTCTCCAGGAGGCGCCGGATGATCTTGTCAAACTCCCCGGGCTTAGGTTCCCGCGGTATCTTCACCGACTGAGCGATGCACACCCCCCCTGTGGGAAGGGGCGCCAGTCAGCCCCGGGGGAAGCCGGGCAGCGCCAGTCTCTCCCCCTCTCACCCCACGCCCCCCAACACACACTCCCTCCAGGAGACGGAGGCCAGGGGCTGCTCACGGCCCCCCAGCCAGACTCCTAGCTCCCACGTCCTTATCTCCAGGCCCAGGCTGGAGAACAGCCACGGTACAACTCAGGATTCCACCACTCACCAGCTGGATGACCCTGGGCATGTCACTTCAGTTCTCTGTGCCTCAGTACCCCCCTATATAAAACAGAGGCTTCCAGCAAGAGGCAATACAGCATCCTGTTTAGGAGCTAGATGGCCTGCGTTTAAATCTCAGCTCTGCTATTTACTGCTGTGTGACCTCAGGGTGGTTACTGAGCCTCTCTGTGCCTCAGATACATCATCTATAAAGTGAAGATAATACTACTTACTTCATAGGGTCGTTACAAAGCTAAGTGAGTTAGTGCACATAAATACAAGAATATCTGGCACACAGGGAGTACTTAGTAAATGATGGTTATTTTCATTGAAACCACCGCATAAAGTTTTTTTTGGAGGAGTAAATCTGAGAAGAGAGCAAGTTGCCCACCCTGGGCTATCAGCACACCATGCATCCACATCCACACGCACCTCCCAGGGCTCTTGTCCCTGGATCACGTGCTCATCAACAGGCCCCTTGACAAGAGCACTGCACACAGCTGCTGACTCACACCCATCCATCCCAGGCCCATTGCTCCAGGTCGTCCTAGGCTCTCCTTTCCAAGGTCTTCAGGAGGTGGGGCTCCCCAGCTCCCACAGCGTGCCTTGATGCCTCTACCCCCAGTCCCAGTTCAAGAGCCCCCAGGAAAACCATTCTAACGGAGTGCTCCAGGTGGGGTGACCAGAGGAGTTCTGAAGGGGTCGGGGGGTCTTTGGGAGCCCTCCCGTCTCTCCTCCTCTGGCCCACTGCCACCTAGCTGGCTCCTGGAGGAGGGGCGAGGGGCCAGGGCCTGACTATCTCTTGAGCTCATTCCCCTACAAGAAGCCCAGCCCCCAGGCCATTGGAAGCATCCAGAACTCAGAGTCAATACCTCGAGGGCCAGATTCACACCCAGGCTGTGGGGCTCACAGAAACCCTGGGAGCACCTTAGACTTCACCCAGCCAGTTCCTAGCCTTAGGCATGCGTCCAGTGCGGGCGGGGGACAGGTGTCCTCCGTGCACTGAAATCCCAGCTGACCTCCTGGTACGAAAGCACTTGAGGAGTACTGTTGCTGTTATCAACAGCCCTGGACAGATGAGGACCCTAGAGAGGAGAAGTAGCTTGCCCAAAGCCACACAGTCCCCTGCCCCTACTGCGATACAGAGCAGGGAGCCTCCCTGGATTAAGAACCCCAGCACCAGTCAGGGCTCAGCTGATAGAAAAGCATGGGGGATTATTCTTAATGAAGCCGATCCTTTATCTAAGACTGTCAGTCTCCTCCGGGTCCTACTCAAAGGTCTCAGCCCAGCTCCACCCCAAACACGATCCCTCGGGGACCCAGCAATGCCTCAAACCATCTACCTCGGTTGGGTACCTGGCTGCTACCCGTGGGCCTCCAAATGGTCTCTTGGCACATGCTGGGGCCACCTGACGCTCCTGCACAGACTCCATGCCCCTCTGTGGGAGGCCCACCCACCGGCCCCACCAGGAGAAATGCCAACACCCAGCCCCACTCAAGAAGGAGGCTCTAGGGCGCCTGGGTGGCTCAGTTGGTTGGGCGACTGCCTTCGGCTCAGGTCATGATCCTGGAGTCCCGGGATCGAGTCCCGCATCGGGCTCCCT